TTTTTTTTTTTTTTTTTTTTTTTTGCGCTATGAAGGCAGCTACACCTCACATAAAAATGTAAAAGGCACATGGAAGAAAGCAATCTGTAGAGATGGTCTGAATTGGTTAACAAGATATCTTAAGAGGAATTTATATATAAAAAGATCCACTCCATCCAACGCCAATTAGATTTGGTATGAAACCCCATTCTTACTAATCATAACTGGGCGTGGTAAATGCCTATACCAAGACTTTTGCCACCAATTTGATTTGTTCCAAACCAGGACTCAAACTTTTTGTTGGGTTGTGCATATGAGTCCAGGTCAGAAGCGAGAAAGGGTTTAAGAAGAGAGACTGCCAGTATTGATCCACGGAGTTATGATAAGAAATTTGCAGTGAAAAAAGTTACTTTCAAGTTGATCAGTTTTGGTATAGAAGCTAAAGTTTGCCAAGAAAAAGAGACATTATATTTCCACGTATATCTGATATCGTGTCAATAGTGCAATAATAAAACCGGTGATGCGAAGACATTATGATATGCAAAGCTGAAATAATATTGCTTACATTTTATATCTGCTGTCCAAAATCCAACCAGGTACCTCTCCAGTTAATGAGTTATGAGACAGAAACCTACACCATAAAGTATAAAAATTTCAACTCTTAATGAATTGCTGAACTGTAGAAGTAAAAAATAAATACCTGTGAACAGTCAACGAATTAGAGAAAGTTAGACCAATAGTGAAGACTGATTTATATTTAAAGATCATGAACTTACATGAAGTCTATTCCCAACAATCTCTGAAGATTATTTGGTATTTGACCATTCAACATGTTGAAACTCAGGTCTCTGCAAATAATCATTTTGAATCAGATAAAAAATCAAAAAAGAATACAAACAATAATATCAATTTTAATGCTTTAGATTACTAGGCTATGATGAACAGACACTTCCACTCGGACGGTGTGTCCGTGTCAGACACGTATAAGACATATGTTGAGTCATATCAAATATCAACACTTCTCGGACACTTCATGACATAGGTCTGATAAGTTTCATGCAGTGTCCTATTTTTATAGATTCTTAAGATTTCTAGTACTTAAGGGATACTTTAGGAATATTGCTTAGACAAGTGTGCTGTGCAGTGTTCTATATTAAAAAGTGCAAAAATAATCTATGCATTTAAAATTATTTAAATCAACATGTCTGTGTCATACTTTCCTGAAAAATCATGTATCTGTGTATTCATGTCGTGTCCGCATCCGTGTCCGTGCAACCTATTTATTAGGTAGATAACATTAAATAGTCGTGTTGGACATCGACACTTAGGCACTTCATGACATGAGTTTGATATGCCCCATGCCGTGTCCAATTTTATATATTCTTTAAATTTCTAATACTCAAGGTATACTTGGACATTCTTTTATTAAGTAGATAACATTAAATCGGTTTGTGTTTGTGCCTGAAAATAAACTACGGGAAGACAATATTGACATTAAAATGCATCTAATTCAATGTCAAATAGAGACCTAACAAAAATTAGGAATGTAAAAATCCACACAAGGGCTTGCAGGAAAAAAAACATGGAACTGAGTATCAAGGATGTCAAGATATATTTAGCTAATATATGATGGCATTAGCAAGTAGCTAGGTACTTTCGACTGTCATTAGCTATTCTAACTCAGCAAAAAATGGAAATCAAGCCAAAACACTCCTTAAATGGGATAATTTCCTTTCTAAAATCATTGATAACAAAAAAACTCAAAAAAGAAAGACTTACAATTCTTTTAATTGCTCCATGTCTCCTATATCTTCTGAGATCGGACCAGTAATTGAGCAATTTCGTAATATCCTGTATCACAACAAGGACTTAAGAGGTGTATGTGCCAGAAAGCTAACATCTAATCAAAAGTTTTTGAGTGTTTTCTTGAAATAATATGATACTTACAACCGCTCCATGGCTGTCAAGTTCTGAAAATTGGGGAAACTCGTGGTTGGTCCACTCAAATCAGATATCCTCCTGACAACCAAAATGCAAATGATTAAAAATACTCTCTTAGATTCTGATCCACTTAAGCATCTATAAAAGTTGAGCTTCAATCTTCTTTTCTATGTTTGGAACAATTAGTCAACGACATAAAGCTTTCGCTAAGAGAACATTTGGGCTTACAACTCTTCCAAGTTTTTCAATTGGGATATAATAGAAGGAATAGGGCCCTCCATTGATGTGCCTTGCAAATCTCTGCAAAGAAACAGATAAAGGCTTGCTATCAAGATGCGTAAATTCATTATGATTTATGAAAATCTAGTGAGAAATGAATTGACCAATAGTATACTCACAGCCTTCTAAGTTTAGTCCAGTTGCCAATGAAATTAGGTACCTTTCCTGATAATCTGCTACCATCAATCCTACTGCAAACAGTTTATTTAAGTTCAGATATGTATAAAAGTTCATAACCCAGTGAGGTGCAGTTCCTTCTCCTGGCATGAAAGTTTGATTAAAAACAGACCTAAATTTTGGCATTGATATGCACAAAGCAGCTGACCTCGGGTTGAAATCTGGCTTTATGTTTGTTTTACTTACCAGTGCACTAGCCAATGGCAATGCAAAGATTACAGATATCTCAGACCTAAATCCATTGTACTCAAATAAAGTGTATGACTTACAAATCTGTCAAGTTCTTTAGATTGCCGAATTCCTCCGGTATCGTCCCCGTGAAATTATTTGCAGAAAGAAGGCTGCAGGTAAATATCTAATATTAGCAACCTGAATTATCTTGGCAACGATAATGGGAACACTAGCCTCAACATTCATTTAGAATTATGCATATAGAAATAGTGGAATCCAAACATGGAAAAGAAAAAAAACAACTACAGTCCCCTTAGATGGAAAGCAAGCAAGTTATAACAAGGAAAAAGAATAGACATAATATTAAAAAAAAATACAATCATGGGCAGACTACAAAAGTATTTATGAGCTTTCTTGTACTAAATTAAGAGATGTAATATTACAAGTTAGAAAGAAGTGATACAATATCTAAAAAATGTCTTCAGATTTCTACGAGGAAGTAACAAATACAACTATCTCAACCATATTACAAGATGGATAAGATAAAGGCTCGAAAACTTATTATAAAACAACATGGAGAATATATCAAGTGGTCTTACAGTCTTCTCAAATTGCTCAAACTTCCCAGATTTGGTGGAATATTTCCTTCAAGCAGATTATCGTCCAAAATCCTAACAATGAAGTTCAAATCATAAGCAAAACTGAGTACTATTGCTTCCACAGATATGATATAATACATTATTTATCACTCACAGTTCTTCCAAAGTGGTGATGCGGCCAACTTCATCCGGAATCGTGCCGCTAATACGGTTTCCAAGAAGTGATCTGTAACGAACATAACAGTAAATAAAATCAACCACTGTATATAGGCAGGTCGGAACAGTGGTTTGGAGGTCCCATTATCAAGAACTTACAAAATAGTAAGACGAAGCCGACCAAAGCTCGGAGGAATTGATCCGTTGATATAATTGCGAGTTAGATCTCTGTGATATAAAGAAGTCACGATAAGTATTTTGCTTTAAATAAAATTCAAGGAAGAAGAAAAACAGAATAGCAATTTTAGCCAGATGCAACTGCTTTCATTTCAGAAGCAAAAACAGTCTCACATCAACTATAGTGTCTATGCAAATAAACAAATGAAAGTAAAGGACAGCCATGCATATACAATCAAATCGATAGAGTACCCAAAATAACAATATTGCTACTTACAACTCTTTCAGATAAGTAAGATTTGCAAATTCTGCAGGCAAGGTTCCAGTCAAATTGAAACCCTTCATCTGGCTGTACATACAAAATAAAGGAATTGAATTTAAAAGATGACTTAAAATAATAAAAGTTTCAAAATTAATAATGATTGAATTAATCATCCCAATTCACTTTAAGAGCATTGAGGGTAAAATGAGAGAAAAACAAAAGACATTAGTTGTACTTTTTGACTCCCTGGGCTAAATGAAAGAAGCTCTTATATATGCATGTCATTAATGATATTTCGCCTCTATTTGAGCCTCATTCTTTATTACAATTTTTTTCCAAACTCATTTTTAACAATATATTCTCCATTTAAAAAAAAATAAAAATTACTTGAATTCAAAACTTTTTCCTACATTTAAATCACATATTCTTCAAGAAATTCACTTTACAAAATCATTCTAAAAAAATGTGGACCAAACAGGGGCTTCACAACCATTTCATTTCTTCTTAAACTCTCGATGTAAATGCCCACACCTAACTTTTAAGCTTAGCGGACCAACTTTTAAGCTTAGTCAAACATACGTCTAAGCTTAAAAGTTATTTAAGCAACTTTTTTCCAAACCCATTGGTCAAAGAAAAGGTAAAATGACTTGTTCAATCACAAGCTTACTTTTTTGATAACAAGTAGTTTATTTTTCTCATTAGACTTGGTCAAACATGCTCTATGCGTATTGGATTAAAACTACATATTTGTTATTAACCAAAGATTTTAACTTGCTTTTGTCCTTCAATATTGTCTAATAGTATCACATCCACCTTACCGAAATACTGTAAGTGTATAATCACAAAAACTTTGTACAAAAAAAAAAGAGTAAGAGCATACATGTGTGTAACATGGCAAACGGTGTTGTTAACAAAGGAACAATCACAGGTCACATTGCTGTAGACATCGTTACCCCAAATGGTCATGTTAAAACCAGTACCATCACGGCAAGATCTTTGCGTAGCATTCCAGTATTTGTTCTGTAATCTCGATGATATCGTTTCAAGAACTCGTACTGTAAAGCATGAAAGCAACCGTAGAATATATGAGAAATCGAACAAAATCTAATTTTCTTCTAAATAACTGAAAACATGGGCCCAATTATATTGGAAAATTGATTTTATACAGTTCGTTATCTTATCTTAAGAGCAATGATTGAATGAAAAGTTGAAAAAAAATCCATTAATTAAAAAATACTTGGCATGGGAAGTCCATCTCTTTCTTATCTTTTTCTAATAGTAACATAATTAAAAAGTACCAGCAATCAATGACAAGAAATAATTCATAAAATACTCAACAGGCTGTAAATTCAAATCCATAGAACATGCAAAAAATAAATCAAGCAAAACAATGCCCAGATTAACTTGTCAGATCTAATAGGCAGACAGAGTTATACAGAAATACACGAATCACAACAAAACAAAAAAAAACCCCTTTAATTCTTACTTATTTTTCTTTACCAGAAACGCATAGAGAAGTTGCTTAATGGAGAAGAGTGTACCTTCTTCTTCAGGCAGAAGTTGTGCAACAGACGTCAAAACCAGAGATGCATAAATACTGAAAAGAATGATTTTTACAAAATTTGTTCTGGTTTTAGCACTTTTGGTAAGAAAAAATTCCATTACAACTCTTCTTCTGTTCAATGCAGAACAAGAAATTTCATCACACGCTCACAAAGTACATCTATATAAATTTCATCACCCACCCACAATATTAATTAATGCAGACAAAAAATAATCAAAAGTTGAACAAGCAAAAAGAATAAAAAAGGTGGATTTGTTTGAAAGTTTCCAAACAGAAGAAAATAATCAAACTTTGGTTTTGGAAATGGAAAATGGAGGAAGGACAGAAAAATTGGGAGATAACTGCTAAATATTATCATGAGACAGAAATCAAGAAAGGGATATTTACTTTAAAATATTTTTAATTGGAGTGGTTTTTGACTCTTCTGCATGTCAGACTTCAATTTATTTATGTGAATTTGACCGGTTGTTAGTTGACATTATTTAAACAGCCGGCAATTAAAGATGGGCAAGTTTGTATAATTTTGATTTGACTGGCTTTAGGGATCCACGTACACTGCTGCATGTTTTGGACTTTTGAGCAAGCACAAGGATTCGAACAAGATCTTCAATATAGTTCACACGTGCATGGGTAGATTGTGGGCTCCTATCAAATATTTGTTTAATCGTCATTAGGATATCAACAAGCCGACTTGTTAGTCGAAACTTGAGAGTTGGGCTCGATTCGAATAAAAATGACTTGAATTTTTTTTTTCTTTTTTTTTGCTTGAGCCAAATCGAACTTTTAATGGCCAAAAAAATTAGGCTCGACTCGAGGTTTTGAATCGGGCCTTATCGAGCCAATTGAACTAACTCACGATTTTTTTTAAAATATCAGGCAGTAACCACTATCACATCCAACTGTCTGCAAAGGCAGTGTGTAGCTGTTGTAATTGGCTTTTAATTTTTTTTCTTTTAGGTTGGCTGGTCATGGGTCGAAAATAGTCGGTGACACAAGTCGGCTCGTGTGGCTCGTCAGCCACGGGGGCTGTCCAAGCTCGGGCCAACACCTCCACAGGGACTCCACGCTCGGGATGACTATGGCTTTTCTCAGGCCCATCGAGTGGTGAGCCCAATTGACACCCCTAATCATCACTTTGTTCTCGTAAAAATATTACGTTTTAGAGGGTGTATTTAATTGAGACTTTTAGCCCATGTTTGGTCCTCATTAAATTAAAATTCATTTTTCTATCTCTTCTTATTAACTATACATTTTTCAATAAAATATTATTGCACGTAAATTTAAAAACTTTTCCTTCCTTTTCAATCAAACATTCTCCAAAAAATTACCATTATCTTTATTAAACTGTGACATAATGGAGCCCAAACAACGGCTTAAGTTTTTTTGGATTTAAAAAGTTTAAAGGTATTCAATTAAAATTTTTTAAGACCCTTTTAAAGTATATGTATCATTCGAGACTTTCATGGACTTTTAAAAAAAGTCACGATGTATTCAATTAAGTATATGTTTGACCTTTATTTTTTTAAAACTAATTTTTAATCACACATTTTTTAATAAAATAATTTTACACGTAAATAGAAAATTTTTATTTTATTTTTCAGCTACACATTTTTCAAAAAATCATTATTTCAAAATACGTTTTCTCCTAAAAATGAGGCTCAAACAAGGGCTAAAACTTATTAAAAGTCTATATAAGTTTTGGATATTCAAATTGCCAATCACTTTTAAAAACTTTTATAAAAGTCTCTATAGTACTAACCTTGAAGCAAAAACTACTAAAATAAATTTCAAAATTTGTTTCTCATTCATACAAAAATTTCGCGAGACTTTCACAAAAAAGTAAATAAATAAATAAAATTAATATGTATTTTTTTTTCATTTTCCCTTCTATAAATATTAGAGTCTTGATTAAAAATTATTTTTTTCTACTGATTATATTTATTTCTATTTTATTTCTCTTTTTTTTTAATCTCTATTTCCTTTGAAAAAAAATTTGAATTGTAACTAAAGATTCTTATAACTTTTTTTCCTTTTTCAAAAAAAATTTGTTTGTAATTAATACTATCGCATTTTATATAAAAAATACAAATTTATAATTAAATTTAAATTAATTAATTTTTGTTTACTTTTTAAAATATGTCATCAATTTAGACGTATACGAAAGACTTCCATTAATTTCATACGAATATATAAAAAGTTCACGAAATCCAAATAAGTTATCACTTAAAAAAAAAAGTCCATAATAATCTACAAAAATTCCAATTGAGTACAAGTCTAAATTGATGATTTTTTACATAGGTTGGAAATTTAGAAATTGACCAAGAAAAAGAAAATTGAGCCACCGATTTCTAATAATCCAATTAACAAGTTAGTCACGTGGTTATCATGAAAACGTGTCTCACTTTGGAAAGCAAAAATCTAGTTTCATTGAATTAGATATATTATTGATTGAAGGTAAGATTTAATTGAGAGTTAGGACGACTGTGTTCAATAATAATTCATGTGCAATTATAATGAAAAATTGGAATCAAAATGTACTTGAACAATAAATAATGGACCATATAGAGTAATTTTCTCAAAGAATTATTAGTAATATAAATAAGGTTATTTTTATTATGGGTTTTTTGTGATTAGTCAAATTTGTTACAAGTTGTTCAACTTAAGTCTTCTGAAGGAAAATGTCATGTAATTGAATTTGGAGGGTGCGACAAAAAATTGTGAATGATAAGATGAGCTAGACTCTCTCAAAACGGACAGTACGTATGATATAACGTCTTGAGCACGATATTTGAATCGTTATGGGGACAATAAAGAAAGTCGTAAAATGTAAGATGGATGAGGCTCTCTCAAAGCAGACATACGTAATTTGAACACGAGCCTCGAATCTTTACAAGAATGTACTTCTAAACGTGAAACTTCAGATTGCTATTTAATCATGTTTTACACTTTTTGGATAACTTATTGTAGCCTAATATTGTAGTTTACATTTTTTTACTTCACAACTTAAATTACTTGTTTACTTTGTAAGTAACAAAACATAAATAACGTGACGTTTTTTATGCCGTGAAGTGAACTTCTAGTAAACATAGAACAATTATACTACTTGTACAAAAGTGGTTTATAAAAGTGTGTTGACAAATTGATGTGACAAAATCTACGTCATTGATTTCAAAAAGCTGTTTTTTAAATCATTAGTCAAGATGTTGCCAATACGTATTTTGTAAACTAATTTTATAACCTAACTTTGTACAAGTAGCATGACTCAACATAGAAAGTGTAGTCTTGTTGGGGCCCCTCATCCCGCATCAATGCCATGGTCACTTTTTCCCATGTCGTGGGCCCAATCTAGCTGCAAATTTATATTTTGGTTGGCAGCGTTGTCCCCCCATAAATTGTCTTCAATAATTTTTTATATTTTTCAACACGAAGCACGTCGGTACACGTTAGGACAATTTTGGGTTAAAAAAAAAAAGAATTTATTTTCATATCAAAGATAGTATCATAGGGTCTCTGCGAAAATAGAAGCGTTTTATTTTCGACAGAATCCTTTCGCGAAGAAATTGACCTTTCAATCGATAAGTCATGGGAAGGACTGAATTCGCAATCAAAGGTTGAAATTAGGATGTCATTGCTAAAAATGAAATGATATATCCAGTTTTCGTAATGATCCCATATAGAGAGCAAACCCTTCAATCTCCAATGGAGAATCAAAGCCATTAAAGAGGGATACATGACATTTGCACTAGTGTTAGATGATTCATTAAGATCGATCGAAAACTTTCAAGCTGAGTGACGACTTCAAACTCTCTCCCTTATTTTCGATTATTTTTATAATTGAGTGATTTTTGTGATCAATGTTGAGAGAAACCTGTATAGTCTTGGGAGATTACGAATTATTGTAGAACAATGGTTATTACATTGAGAAGGGTTCAATTTGAGCGATAGGGTTGTGATAGCAGTCTATTATGCATGTGATTCATATATAGTGGAACACATGTTTATTGGAAGAAATAGGTCGATGTCGATGTCGGAGTGGAGTGACGACATCGACCTCTTGGACTTTAATTTATTGTTTGTTTGTTAGGGACGTTGAATAGGTTAGGGGTCGGAGCAACACTCCCGCGGTATGGTACATGGGTATTTTCCTGTACGAACCCTAAAGTTTTATATGGGCCAGGGCAAGAGTTTGTATATATACTGATGATATAATAATATTATTCATACTGAATAAAATATCTCCACTTCACTCCTTGTGGATGTAAGCACATTGTCGAACCACATTAAATCCTTGTGTTAATTTATTTCTTTCACTTTTCTATTATTGCGTATAAAATCAAACACAATTTGTTCTCAAGGCATTGTGTACAGTCAGAGATTAGTTCTTTGAGCTTTCGTGCAGCGTGTTCACATCTTGATGCTGTTCTTGACTCTAGACAAAGAACAAACTCTCATAGCGCTTGAATTCTTGATTAGTATTAGTACAAAAGGGGCTTAATCTATTCCGACGGAGCTCCAACATAGACGTATCCAAGCAATTGGTGAATTCCGAGCCCAATTCATTGGGGAAACATATCTTCGTGTTCTTTTCTTGCTTTTTGGATTTCTACTCTGCAATTTATCTGATGCTACGTGCGAGAAATGGTCTAGACATGCCCAACTTTCGTTATTTGAAATGGTAGTAAAATTTTAAACACCATCAACTCGCAAAATTTCGATAAAAAGATTTAGCAAATATTAGTCAACTCATATTAGCACATAATCAATAGCAACATCCCCTTTTAATTCGCTCGAACTAGCACCCGGCAAAATTGTATTAATATTTGTTACTCACCAATTACACTCGTTAATAAATTACAAAATGTTTAGCATACACTAGTCAAACAACAACATAAGTCACAAATCATGTCACCAACGATACAATACTAGTTTCTCAATTCATTTGGAAAAAAACTTATAAATAAATAGAAATGAGCGATGGATGATACCAATGGATTATATAAGTTTTTGGTCAAGCCCATGGAGTAGGCTGGTTGGAAAGTTATTAACATTATTATTATAACTATCCCATTTGACTAGTCTGCAAAATGATGCCGACATC